TTTTTCAGTTCGGGCATGTTTTTTTTTTCTTTTATGCCTCGGCCATGTTTTTTTTTTTTTTCCCAAAGAAAAGGTGATGGCCTTGACATTTCTTTTTTGTGTAGAACAAAAAAGGCGACGACCAATAGTATGCCATTTCCGTTTTGGTGTGATTTTTTTTTATTTTTTTTTTTGGGCTTTTTCGGTTCGGGCATGTTTTTTTCTTTTTTTTTTTAAAAAGGGCGACGGCCTTGAGATGTCAGTCGGGATCGGGAGGTCGGCAGCCTCGCGTGATCATGCTAAGATCAACACGGGGAAGTTGGACCGTGGGAAGTTGGTATGGAGTCGGGATTGGAGGAGGGATGAAGAAGGGGAGAAGGTGGGTTCGACGGAGGGATGGGGAGGAAGGTCGTGATGATGGGATGGGGATCTGAGCAATTGGAGGAGGGATGAGGAAGATGGAAGTCGGGACGGGAGAGGTGGCCAGTGGGAGTCGGGATGCAGTTGGGATTTGCAACAGCTTCGAGATAGTCATACGACACTAGGGGTCAGGATGGAGTCCGGATTGGAGGACAGTCGGGATAGGGGAGGTGGAGAGTCGGGGTCGAGGGAGAGGGGAGGGGTGGGGCGGGGGGGCTTCTTTTTTCCTTTTTTTTTGTGGAAAAAAAGGGCAATGGTCAATGGTATGCCATTTCCTTTTTCGTGTATTTCTTTTAGAGACGGCCATGGAGAAAGTGGGGAGTCGAGAGGGAACGGACTCGGGATTCGAGGGATAGGGAGGAAGAAAAGTCGGGGTCGGGAGTCGGCATGGAGTCGGGATTAGAGGAGGGACTAAAAGGACCACGGCCTGGAGAGTTGGGGTTTCGTTATTGTGTTTTTCGGTTTTGTTTTTCTTTTTTTTCTTTCTTTTTGTAAAAAAAGGGTTTCGTTATTGTGTTTTTCGGTTTCGTTTTTCTTTTTTTTCTTTTTTTTGTAAAAAAAAGGCGCAACGGCAAATGATGTGCCATTTCCGTTTCTATTGGGTCCTTTTTCTCCACACCTTCGCCTCTAGATCCTCCCTCCCTTTTCCGACTCTGCCGCGGCCGCGGCCGCGGCGGGGCCCCTTGTTCTTATTTAATTAAAATAATAAATTTTTTGTTATCATTAATATGAAGGGTGTTAACGTGTTTATCATTCTCGCTTACCACACTTTATGTTATTCCTCCCGAACTCGCTCCAGCGATGTTTCTTTTTCTTCTTCACTTCGTTATCGTCCACGTTGCTAATGTCACTCTCGCTATCGCTCACCCGTGAATCATAACGGTACTCCTCTCGAGTGTTTTTTTTTTTTTAATTATTATTGGAGCGTGATATTCAGTAGTCTCACCTCCTTGTCTTGAATAGTCAACCCAAAAATTATTCCTTGACCACAGTGGAGGATACTCTACTCATGCACAATCACTTTCCAGCTTCCTTGACTGTAAAATTGTTATAACTGATAATCAAGCAGACTATCAGTTTAATCGTAATATTGATCGTGACACCCCCGTAATTCTTACAAACATCATAATTGCTCTTCAAGTCATTGACAACGTCATCCTTCAACTCAATTAGCTGAATTTAGTTCTTACTCTAGTTACGAAGTTGCGGTATAAGCGAGCATCGAGTTCGTCATGCCAAGAGTTCTTATACGGCTGACTATACACAAAGGTTATATGTCTTGAGAGTGGTCTCTCTTGTAGAGGGCAAAGTTGAAGGCCTAGGTTTAGTGAGTCTATGCAACTTATAATGTCTGATTTTCGTAGCAGATAGAGCCAGAAAAAAAGTATGTCCACAATATTGCTTTTGATGCAAGGGAGAAATATCCTTAGTGATAGTAAGAATGACACTCGAATTACGACAAGCTCGACTTTGATATACGCTAGAAAAAAATGAGGACTCGAGAGTTAAAAAATATGACAAAAATAATATATAAGTTGGAAATACATTAAAATGGGAAAGAGAAAGAAAAACAATAGATGGTGAGAAAGTAATGCGGCTTGCTCTATAGAAAATTGAGGACCTTTACGATTTTGTTCACTATTCTGTGTTAATTATAGCTAAGTTGTAATTGTTGTGTTAAATGTCTCAAATCTTTTTTAATAAGATGAATAAAATATGCGTGATTGCATTGTTATCATAATTACTAAACACAACAACCGTCCTTCATGTGCCGACAAACTTTGATCTCCATCTTAATACATTGCTCGCCCAACACTATCTATTGAAGTAATACACGTTGTGTGTGCAAATCAAACTTCTTCATTTTAATCTCAACCGCAACAAAAATAGGTAAATATTCAATATAGAACATTTACGAAAGCAACAAATATGAATAATTCATTTGCTAAAACAAAAGGCAAATACTAATATTTTGAAAGAATCCTCGATCGCTTGCTTCATTTGCAAATAGTTATAGTCGATCAGAATGTTATGAGCAAAGATGTAGAGACCGGTTTTTGTAGCGACGTCGGAGAATGGGATGAGGAGGTAAAAGGAAAATAGGGTGAAGGATCAGGGAGGAAAGAAAATTTAAGGGAATCGCTCATGAGCTGCAATTACCATTGTACATTGAAGATTAATCAGAAGGAAGTACGCAAAGATAAAACATGTACCCCACAACATGCTTCCGTCAATTATTGTCAGTAGCTTTCAAAACAAGTCGACAAAGATTGACACGGTTTGATTCGGCTCAACAACTCATAATTGATTGGAGTCCATAAAGACTAGTTTCCATCGTTCACACATTTTCTCACTTATACCAAATCATCTAGTTTATAGTAAACCATGGAACCAACGTTCCCCTTTCAAGCCTTGTAACTGTAGACCTCTCTTGTAGGATAACTCGATCATTTGCCTATTTTTTTTGGCTAAATATGAGAAAGATTCATTATAGCAGCTCCATATACCTTAGGCCTTGCATTTCATCGAGTTTCAAATTCCCCTCAAACAAGGGTTGCTATAGTATGCGATCTCATAAATTCTAATGCAAGGTACGAACTGGTCAATAACCGATGGTGTGAATCCGATCGACTCATGTTGATGGATAGTAATTCTCGAGGCCTTTTCGGGGCTTACTCCACCTTAAAAAATGATAAAATTGAAACAAAAAAAAATCATAGTTGTTTGTTTATTTGGGCATGACAATATTGGTGGTGTTCATATTGACATGTTGAAAATGACAAATCACAATCATCGATACTATCATATGTATGGCTTGTATTGACATCGTATCCTTTGCGCAGATGGCACAACTTTGATAATAAATTTTATGTTTTCTTCACTATTGAACTAATGCCACCTATTATGATTGTATCATTGTAACAAATTTCATGGTTTGAAGCAAAACGTGCAGTCGCCTTCTCATGAACCGATTTTGTCAAATCATACCGAGGAGAGGATCTGACACTAACAATCATGTGTCGTTCTATCGGTCTTCCCCGTTTCTAAATGTTTGTTGTACCATTTGTGATATATAGTTCTTTCACTAGTCTGTTGTCTGTCATTCTTGAAATACCTAACAAAAACCCATTCTATAGTTTTTGCAAGCAATATTGTGTTAGTCCCTAACTCAGTTGAGTCAGCTCATCCACAATTTTCATTGCAGCGTTTGCCATCCCTTATGGACATAATCTGTTTTGGGGGGTACAAAGTCAATTGTTCCACACAGGGGATATAGCTAACCAGTACTTGTATGAAATATAAAAATGGGAGAAAGAGAGAGTGACGGGATTCGTGCAGTGGAAAAAATTCACGTCTTCCTGCTTGTACCTATATGTAATCTCCCCAATCTTCATAACCTTCCCTTTTCAATGTAACTTAAAAACAATCTACATTGTCTTCATAACCTTCCCTTTTCAATGTAACTTAAAAACAATCTACATTGTCATGATGCTATATCAAGGAAAAATATCGAGTTTGTAATCCTTGAGCTGGGTAACTCGTGCCCTGAGTATACTTGTATAGCAGAAAGCCTATTTGAAAGTCTTTAAAGGTTCTTTGTTTGCAACCACTGTGGCTGTTTGTCCGACGCACAAATTGATAAGAGGACCTTTGCCTAGTAGGCAAAGAAAATTAGGTTTCTCAGGATTCAAACAGCTTCATCGACGTGGAAACCAAAGCCTCGTTGAGCGTGTGCAATACCAAAAACAACCTTGCTTCCAAAGCAACATCTCATATTACTTCAAAAGATTTGCAAGGGTTTTAATAATTGTTGCAAAATTCATATGAACCACACATAATTTGAAGAGATTCAGTCCTCCATCGGTGATGTTGCAACTGGAGCAGAAAACTTTCAAAAATTAAATTCACTGTTCTCAGCCCGTGCTGGGAACCGGGCCCAGCGACCCATGTGAGCTTACACAAAACATTGAGATACGAGGGCCATTACCCAGTTTCGACTAAAAACACTCCAGAAAATTTAAGAATTTTGTTTTTTCTATTATCTGTTGCGCTAACTGAGTTTTACGTGCAAAATTTAAAAGTGTCATATCAATCTCACGTTAAACCGCCGATAAGACCCTGACCATTCGTAGTTGTCATAGTTCCTAAAATGAACGGTTCAGTCAGAAATTCAGAATTCATTATTGATTATGAAAATCTGAATGATATACTATCAAAGCTTTCAAAGGTGTATACCCCGCTCCTCAAATTGCTGATCCGTTGGATTTGCTTGGTGGCGTGAGATTTTTCATGGAGTTGATATTTGATATAGTTTTCATTACATTCTGCTATGTATGAAAGATCAACCTAAGACAGGAAAACAATTCAACATATATAGGAAGAAACTTCTCAAAAGATTTAGCAAAGTAAATCATTAGATACCCCCCCCCCCCCCCCCCCCCCCCCCCCCCC